GCGTGGCCGCCGCGGCGACTGATGCCTCCGCCTCCTCCACGACGCCCTCGCCGGCGCTGCGCCCGCCGCCGTCATTGTGGGCCTCCGCTGGTGAGGCTGCGACGGTGGCGGAGGCGTCAGTCGCCGCGGCGGCCACAGCGGCCTCCACCGCCGTCATGCCGGCCGCCCCAATCTCCTGCAGCATGGCGGCCTCGTCAGTGTGGTAGTAGTGGACCAGCGTAGCGGTGGAACGGTAGCGGCCGGCAAGACGCTGCCGCAACTCCTCCGACGCCTCGCGCCGCAGGTACGTCTCCACCGCATCGATAGTGTCGTACGCGGCGTTGCTGCGGAGAAGCTCGGAAAAGCGTGGCAGCTTCACCTCGCCCTCGACTACATTTTGCTGCAGCCGCCGCGACACCGCCGCGCGCCGCTCGCTGGTCACCACGCGCAGCTGCATCGTCGACGACGACGAACCCTCCCACGTGAAGGCGACCGAGTCGAGGGTCCGCCGCGCGGCCGCCTCGTCGTCCGCGTCCTTCGCGCCGTTGCCATCGGCGCCATGCGGCCCCTTGTCCGGGGCGGGCTGCAGCAGCGACAACACATCAGCCTCCAGTAGCGTGCGCGCCTCTGCGCCAACGGCGTCTGTGCGGTGCAGTAGGCGCCAACCGCGGCAGAGGCAGTGCCCCTCACGATGCGGAAAAGAAAACACAAATGTCTTCATGTGGTCAGCCAAACTCCCTGTCGGCTCCTCAACAGCCGCCTCCGCCACGGCCGTTGCTGTGGCGGCATCGCTGGTCGTATTCGGTGCTGGCGGAGGCTGCGAGGCAGTCCCCACAGAGGCGGCGGTGCCCGGCGGGCGCGCGGCAGCGGCAGCGGCAGCGGCTCCGCTGCGGTTGGCGGCATTGCCTGGCGCGCTCCTGGTGGGTGGGGCACGTGGGACCCACTACACACGGCGGTGGTCGGAGCTGCTTCCTCCGTCTCCAGCCTCTCTGCTTCCTCCCTTGTCTCCGCTGCATCGTGCGGAGGCTGGGACAGCTGCGGCGCTTCCGCGAGAGGAGTGGCATCCACGGAGTTGACGGAAAAAAAGGGCGGGTCCGCCGCGGCCTCCTCCAGCGGCTCGCTCGGCGTCTGTGAGGTCTTACTGCTGCTGCCGCCGCCGCCACCGCCGGCAGCCAAGGCGGCAGCAATTTCTGCCACCAACTCGTCCTCGCTGCCGTGCCGCGCGTGCACCAACTCCTCCGCGGTGCTTCCCGAACACTCTGCGGGCAGTCTGCCGCGAGCGGCGTCGAGCATGGCGGCAACCACCTCCACCGTGTCCTCCTCCGACTGCCGGAGTGCCTGCATAAACAACGGAAAAGCAATCATCCCACCTTCCATGTTCGCGTGCTGCTGCAAGCGCTCAGCCAGCGCAGAGCGGTGCTCGTTAGAGGTGATTTTCAGCCGTGTGACGCCGTACGCCGCGTCCTCGCCGACGTCCTCCTCCGACGACGGCGTCGCAAGTGAGACAGAATTCACCACCACGTCGCCCCGCTGTGTCTCCGGCGGCTGCAGCAGCGCCCACACATCACGCGCGAGACACGCCCGGGCATCTTCTCCCACAGCATCGCCGCGATGCAGCAGACGCCAGCCGCGACAGAGCACGTGCCCCACGGGGTGGTAGTAGGACATGACAAAGCCCTTCACGCGACGTGCCTTCCCCGGCTTGAATGCCGCGGCCGTTTCCCCTGCAGGCCCGGCAGCATCCCCGCTCTCCAGCCGCACTGCCGGCCCACCCCCTGCCGCCTTCACTGCCGCCGCAGTTTCCTCCGCGCCCAACGGTGAAACTTCGGCGGCGTCGCGCGAGACACGCGCTCCCTTCGCCTCCGCGGTGTCCGCACCCTCGCCATTGCGGTGGCTGCCCTCGCTGTTAAGGTGGCACCGTGTCAAGGGAGTCTCCGCCTCCACGCTGCCGCCGCTGTCTCGCGCGGCGTCCATGGAGGCAAAGAGGCAGCCAAAATTAAATGCTTTGGAGGAGGCGCGGGGAGGAGAGGTGGCAATGGACGACGGCTCGCGCCGAAAGGAAGTCAGCGTGTCCTGCAGGACGTGACGCTCGTGCGGTCGCAGTGGAGTGGCCTCGCGGCCAGCGTTGCGGCTTGGCGCCCGCGCCGTCGCGGCGTCCATGGCGGCCCACGGCTGCGCCTCTTTTGCCACCGCCAGGAGGGGCACGACGCCGCGGAACGCCGGTGTCGCGAACCCCGCTGACAGCTTGACGCCACCGAGCGAGCTGCGCCGCGTCTCTCCCGCCACCGCCCCCGTGCTTGATCCCGCAATCACCGACAGGTCTTCGTCAGCAACCACAGGCGAAAGGATGGGAACGCCCCGGCGCCGCTTCCGCTGCTTCTGCTCTTCATCCTCACTCTCGATGCGTTGCAGCTGTGGCGGCCTCTGCGGTGGCTCGGGCGGACAAACGAGGTCCGCTGGGCGCTGCAGGACCGACGGTGTTGGCGGCACGGAGAAGAGAAACCGCCGCGGCGTCTCCCCGGCGTGGATGGAGCTAACGTCGTCGCAGGCGCCCGCCAGCTGCGCGGCCAGCGGGGAGGGGAACGACGCGCTTGCCGGCAGCGCCCCGCCCGTGCCGAAGTGAAACGGCGGGAAGCCGTTCTCTCGCCCCTTCCCACCCACCGCGGCGTCGCCTTGCTTGTCACCGGCTGCCCCTTCGCAGTCCTCCCTTTCGGCTGCGGTATTGCCCTCCGCCGCCGGCTCACCGCTGGCAACGCAGAAGGCCGCCTCCCCCACCGCGCCGAGGTGAATACGCAGCGGCGGCGGTGGGCGTGTGCCGCCGGCAAGACCGCACCGCCGCCGCTCCTCGCAGCGTCGCCGCACGGCAGCCTCGGCCCCTTGCTGAAGCAGCAGAATGGTGCCGCCGTCGTCGCGGTGAATCCCAGTATTTCCCTGAAGCGCCAGCGCGGAGAGCACGGAGGGGGTCGCTGGCCAGTCAAGGATAAAGGCGTGCACGACCCGCATGCACCCCTCGAGGCTCAGCAGGTTTTCGGCCAGGTTGAGCGCCGCCAGGCAGGAGAAAACCCCCGTCGACGCCGCGGAAGCTGCGGCAATCGCCAAGCCGCGCGCCGCCCTATCAGTGACTCCTGTACCGCGCAGATTCAACACCCGCAGGCGACAAAACGCGGGTGGGGCCAAACATTGTCGCCGCTGCGCGTTAAACGCGGCGTGTGCCGCCAGCTCACACAAAATACCTCCCGCACACGCCTGGCGGGCCAGCATCACGGCGTCTAGCGTAAACTCCGTCGCCCCCTCCAGCTCTCGCTGCAGGCGCCAGTAGATGCGCGGGTCACGCGAAGCCTCGTCCCCCTGCATCAAGAGCTGCAGTAGCAGCGAAGGTGGCAGCTTGAGTGCGTCAAAGGTGCCCGAGACATCCAACTCTTTCAAGTTGGGGCAACAGAAAAATATGTTCAGGAAAAGCTCGCGGCAGCCAATGGGCGTACACATCGTCGATAACGGAACGCCGCTGAGGTTCAGCGTCCTCAGCGCACATGGGTAGTGGAGTTCCTTGAAGCTAGAAAACCTGCACGCGGCCGGCGCGGCGTCGGCGCCTGCGGCCGCCTCGTCTCGGCTACGCGTCGCCAGCGGCGCGATCTCGCCATCCGTGCAAGTTGGCCGGGGAGACACGAGCGCGGCCGCAACAACCCCGTTGTACGCCAGCAGCACGGTTTTCAGCCGGTGGGCATGACTTGCCCCCGCAAGCACCTCTGAAATCCCCCGCGCAGAGCCTTGGCAACCCCGCAAGTCCAAAGATGAAATTCCTAAAGGAATCTGCGCCTCCCCGCAGGAAGCGGGGCCCGCGTCCGGCCCGCCAGTGTCCCCACACCTCCGCTCCTGCGGCGCGCCGTGCCGCCGGCGCTGCGCAAGCCACGCCGCGTACTGCCGCACCAGCGACGGGGGAAAAAAGTGGGGCTCCTCCCGCAGCGACGTCAGGCGCAACTTGGCCAAATAAATTCCCAAGATTTGCAGCCCGTAGTCCTGCAAGGGATTCCCCGACAGGTGCAGCTCGTCAAGGGTGTCTGCCGCCCAGAGGAGCAATTTTCCCAGCGGGGTCGCGCTACGGTGGGTCAGACGATTCCCGCTTAAGTCCAACACGCCCAGTCGACGCAGCGCCCGTCTTTCACAGAAGTCTGCAACCGAAGATGCGGCGGAAGTCGAGGCCCTTCGACCAGGGCCGAGGTCACGCGACGTTGCGGACGCGACAGCCTCACACGCCGCGACGGACTTCGCCACCACGGGACCCGTTGACCTTCCTGACGACAGCGCTAAGGAGGAGGAGGAGGAGGGCGACGGCGCCGTGCCGCGGCGCGCAGGCCCCGCCTGGCAGCTGCGCAGGAGCTCCGCTAGCCGCTTGTCCGTCATCCCCATTTCCGCCAGCCCAAGAAAAGTCAGGCCCGACATCGTTGGCAGCACCTCGCGACAAAACCAGCCCCACTCCACGCTGTCCACCGCTGTGGCCCTGAGGTCCAGTCGCTGCACGTTGGCCGCCGAGGACTGCCGCCGCAGCGCTGCCCCCTCCAGCAGGGACGATGCCAACAAAGACTCCCTCCAAACGTTCCCCGCCTTCCCCGTTGGGCGGGGGGGTGTGGAATTGCCGGCACGCAGCAACGACGCAGAAGCCGCCGTGGCGCGTACACGGGGCTCCGGCGTCGGGACGAAGCAGCTTGGCTGCGGCCCCTCGTCGCAATTTTCCCCCTCATTCCGCACAGCAGCGCCGTCGCCAGCAGCAGCAGCAGCGGCATTGCCAAGCACTTCCCCGAAAGCCCGCCTACGGTGAGCCCCAACAGGCCCAACACGCATCCCAAACGGCACGCCACCTTCCTCGCCGGGGCGCCTGTGCTTCATTAACTCCACTGCCGATTTCGTCTGCCACGGGCTCCGAGAACACCGCCCACGCCTCTCGCCTGCCCAGCACGCACACACACACGCAATTTCAGGCTGAAGCACACCGAGGCTCTTCTGACTTCTATCTACGCAACGCGCTCTACTACGCCCCTCCCCCGCGTTCCTTTTCTTGGCTGTGACTTGCACTACGCCCTAGTCCTGCGCCGCCGGAGCAGCTCCCGCCACCAGCGCGTCTCAGCAGGGGAAGCACGGGAGGCGAGCGTGAGGGAGCCCAACGGCCGCCCCCAAATGAAAACGCGGCAAAGTACAAAAAAACAACAACAACAACGACCGCCTCCGCCTGCTGCAGCCGCACAACGCACGACACTCGCCTCTCCAACGGGGCCAGAGCGGCAGAAAGACGGCGCAGAGAGGCAGGCCACAATATGCGCGCAAGTGTGATTGGGTGTGTGCCGCCCCCCACACCAAGCGGGGTCGACTAAAACGTCCTTCACCGGCCTCGGCAACGAAAATGCACGCAGCAAATAAGAAAAAAAAATTGAAAGGTAAAGTAGCGACCCCAAGAACAAGACCAGAATCGCAGACGCAACCGCAGGATCGCAAAGTCATCCATAAGTCGTAAACACACGCACACACACACACACACGCAGGCAACCTCCCACCACTAATAAACTGCTATGCACATAGAAAACTCTGCGTAAACAAAAGCAAAAAAAAAACAGCGCTCTGTCACTTGTGTGTCAGATGCGTGGATGTCAAGCGAAGCATGATGGAAAACAAAGTGCCACTACCTCAACGGAGAGAAGCGGTACTGCCAACCTGCGTCTCCACGGCGCCCAAACGCGTCCCACCCCTCTTCCTCTCACTCGTCCAGTTCTGACTCATCCCGTGAAGATTGTTCATTGACGTGTCCCTCCTTATCGGGGTCGGGCCGCAGGATAAGGTACGACAGAGCCGACGCCAGCGTGCTGAATAAGAGATAGATAGCGGCAAAAATGGCCCACCAGTTGCCCGTCACGCCAGTTCTTTTAGCCAGATTCAACTCTTCGCCTGACCGGGAGGAACCCGAGGTTGAACCAGGAGCCTGCGTCGTTGTTTTGGGGATAGGCGCGTGGGTGGAGGAAGGGTGGGGGTCGAGGGTGCGGCACAACGCATGCGTCACCATATTGTACTGGTAGGGTGCGCTAATCCAGCCGCCCCTACGGTAGTCGTATGCAACGAACTGGCTGTTTTTGGGGCCAAGAGGATAGAACGGGGCCCAATTCACGTACATGCCAGGCGTCGGTCGACCCCAAAGTCGCAGGGACGAACGGTAAAAGACAGAATGTGGTGCACATTTCTCCTGCCAGTTATCCCGCCAGCACCACTCGCAGCTGGCAACTTCGCGCAGAGCCAATCCACATTTGTCACGGCTCCCGGCAAGGAAGGCAACGACTTTATTCACATCTTCCACCTTGGTCCGCATCAGAGAGACATATTTTTCCTCAATCGCCGCACTGCTTGCCGCCACAAGATACCCGCCATGAGTGGCGCAGGCAATGCGAGTGTGATCGTACGACTCTTTAGGGTCATCAAGAAGCAATAAGGAGTCAGCAGTGCAGGTGGAACAGCAGAACAGCAGCACGCCGCAGCAGGCAAACCAGACAGGCGCGTGTACGGTCGGCAACCCCGCGGTCCCGGATGGCGCGCCTTCGTGGGCCCGCATCCTGCCAGAGTGCCTCAGTATCGCTGGTGATGGCCTCGACTAGTCTGCAACGCGGGAAAGAGAAAAAAGAAGGGGGCAACAGTGCAATGGGTGTCGACAAATTTCATGGGAACACCACGTGGGGCAATAGCCATTTGAACAAACTCTTCTACCCTGTTGAGGAGAAGGGCAAGTAACCGAGGAAGCGCCACTGGGTGGGGTGACAGTCAAACTTGTTTCAACTAGAAAGTGTGCAAAGTCAATATGGAGAACGGTTCTCTTTCTGTCCAGTGGTTCCCGCTTAAACCGTCATTTGCGGACTGAGAGCCATCTTCTTCATGGCTGTGGCTGAACGAGGAGGGGGGCGGTCATAAGTTGTCGCCAATGTTTTGTGGGCTGTAGTCTGTCCTTATTCCTCGCCTTTGGTTACCGCTGCTGTCGCCTGCGCTTTTGGTGTCCGTGTGCGTGTTTGTTTGCTTGTTTGTTTTTCGTCCTCCGCTCCATTTACTCCTCCTCGTTCTTTCCGCTCTGTTATTGCATTATCGTCCGTGGTTAAGTGTCGTATCACTTTGTACTCGTCTAGGCGTCGCTCGTTGCAGCTGCGTTCCTCCCTTGTTTTTGTGCTTTTGTGATTTTGTTCTTTGTTTTTTTTTGCCGAATTTGATTTTTTTTCTTTTGCTTTTTCCTCCCCGTTGTGCCCTGCGTTGCCTCGCGGATCCCGAGCTTCTCTGTACGGCAGGGAACGGGCGCCAGTGTCCTCCCCCACGCGCATCCGCCTGGTCTTGAGACGCTCCGCCATCGAACCTCCCAGGCAGGCTGACCAACGCGGCAGGCGCGGCCTACGCAGTGGACCTGCGCCGCCACAAGATGCAGGCCGTCAGAAGCACGCAAAGGACGCTCCCCACCACGGGCACCACCACCGCCAATGGGTACATTTCACCCGGGCTGGAGCGTTTACCGTGTGAGCCGCGCTCAGCTGGTAGTCCGCGGTCATTTCTGGAAGTCGCGCCGGCTTTGGATTCCCCCCCCGCGGCCTTTGCGGAGGCTGCAGTGGCTGCGGTGTCCGCCGCAGGGTGCTGAGCAGCCTCTTCCGTCGTTTTCTCCTCGACTCGTATGCGGCTAACCACAGGAAGCTCGTACCACAGATTGGGGTCGTTGTAGAGCACAAGCGGTGAGGGCTTCTGTTGTATCTCGTGATGCGAGGCCTGAATCAGATAGGTGGACGGGGCGCGATGCAGGTCACGGATGATGATGCGGTAGTTTTCGATGGGTTTAAAGATGGTGTCAAATGCGTCGAAGAGGGGGGCCAAGTTTACGCGGCGACTCATTGCCTGCGCAATCGACATAGACTGCAACGGCTCCAGCTCCTCCACGGCCAGCACCACGTCTGTGATGTCCTTCACTATATCATCTTCATAGATGGCCTCCACACGCATGTTGGGAACCTCGTCTGGGCACAAGTTTAACACCTCCTGCCTGTAGTCCTTGCAGCTCACGTAGCAGTAGGGCACCGCATAGCGTTTCCACACCGGACCATAGCCAAACAGTATGTCACTTGCGGATTTAAGTTGTTTTATAACTTGGGCAAAGTCGTAGTGGAACTCCATCAAGTCGCCAGGGGTAAGATCGTGAAAGTGTCGCGGCCTGTAATTCGTCACCAGAGGAGCTACGACAAACTGCGCCACGGCCGTCTGTGGCTGTCCGCTCTTCCCAAAGCGTTGGTCAACCTTAATGTGTGGAAGCGAGGTCTTGCACCGCTCCCGTAGCGGCAGCATAAATGGTGAAACGCTGTGCAGGAGCGCGTTTGCAAAGGCCTCAAATGCGTTTTTTTGCGCCATCTCACGCTTTTGTTGCGACTTTGTGGGTTTTTTCCACCGCCGGTTTCCATTTGCCGTGAGCGGCGGAAGCGGTCTGCCGTTCTCGTCCAACTCCGTGACGGCCGCCGCCGCGGCAGCAGCAGCAGCAGCAGCAGGATGCGCGGGGGCTGTGGGTGCCGCGTGCGCGTGTCCCTCGCCGCCACCACTGGGACCGCACTTGGGAAGCAGCACTCTGGCCGCGTTAACCCACTTGCCGCTCACTAGTGGACGCACTTCGTCTGTGCCCGGCAGCGCAGGGTACCGACTGGCGTCCGTGGCCGCAACTACGCCCTGTGACTTTTTGCGGCGGCGTCTGCTCGAGGCTGGGGTTGCGAAGCGGCTTGGGGTGGCCCGCGTGGCCGCCCTCCGGCCTGGCGCCGGCGGCAGCAGCGCCCTTCTCACTGCTCAGCTGCCGCTCAATTAGCTCCTTCGTGAGAGCCATGACGCGCTCGAACTCCTCCGCCCAGTTCACCCCCTCCAGCTCCACTGCGGGGCCACCAGCCACGAGCGCCGACGGCCCCGCCCGCGTGAAGGAAGGGTAGTACGCCGGCGACTCCGTGACGGCGCCAAGCGTCCGCATCTGCTGCCGCTGCTGCTGCTGCTGCTCCTCTCCTTGTTGTTGCTCCTGCTGGTCTTCCGGCAGTAACGACGGCGCGGTGGCGCCATTGTTGGTGTCGTCGGCGGCTGCGGCGACGTCGTCCGCTGCGGCTTTGCCATCCTTCTCACTCGTGGAGGCGGGAAGCCTGAAGGATGCAAGCTCGCCCGCCGGCCGCCACTCCTTCGCGTTGGCATTCAGTTTCTGCGACATATCTGCGCCAGCACTCGCCGCTGTTTGCCTATTTTTCCCTACTTGTCCCCCGCCCTCACTCTTCCTCTTCCGCGCTCTCTCCCTCTATGCCTTGCAGTGCGTGCTTGCGTGGAATTGGACCTCAGACACCAACTTTCTTTGGCCACCTGACCGCGCTGACGGTACTCTTTTTTGTTTTTCTTTTTTTCTTTTTCCCTTTAAATGCTTTCTTCGTTTCGTCTTCTTTTTTTTCCCTCCTTAAATGCTGCTGCTGCTGTTGTTGCTTTTGTTTTTATTCTGTTTTTTTGTTTTCTTTGTTTTTCCCCCAGCCGCTGCTGATGGTGGTCCCTGACGGGTGGAGAAGGAGGGCGACCGTGAACAGACCTGCCTGCAGCCACAGAGTTGTGTATATGTGTCTAGAAGGTAATATCTCTCTACGCGCTGGCGGGTGCGCACGCGGGCAGAAGTTGTGTGGGGGAGAGTTGGGAGAAGCAGAAGGGAGGAAAGAGGCGACAACGTGAACAGTGAACGGGCGCCTAATGGCACGCGAGGAGACGGACAAAATGTGCGCGTGCGTGCGTGCGGCAAACGACGCACACCCCCGTCGTCGTCCCCGTGCGCGTGCGCGTGCGCTGAGACACGAAACCGAAAAAAAAATAAAATAAAAACGGAACCCAGCAAACAGAGAGGGGTGGCCGCGGCCTCGCAGTTCAGCCGCCGCCGCGCCGGAGGTGCTCAGTCAGGCAGAAAGAAGCTCCGAAAGACGGTTGGCGTGTAGTTGCCGTACTCCATCACGTGCGGCAGGTCCCGGTGCCAGCAGCTCTTGAAATGCAGCAGCAACTGATGATGCAGTGCGTGGAAGCCCAACTCAAAGTCGCTGATCTCACTCCAGGGCCTGTGGGCGGTGGTTTCCCCGTGGCTGCCGCCGTCGGTTTGGCTTCCTCTCGCTACTACTATTGCCGCCGCCGCCGCGCCGCCCGAGCACCTCCGCGCGTGAGCTGCCAACATGGCGACCCGCACCGCCCTCGCCCGCGGCCTTGCCGGCGTCGCTCCTGACGGTGTCGTACAAAACCTCCAGCTGCGGCAGGTAAAAGGCGTGGTCCTGCTGCAGCAACAGCTGCGCTGTGAACTGGATAGAGACCACGGCAAGGAGGTACCAGGTGTCCTCACCCGCCGCAAGCATCCTCTTGTTGAAGGCCATCATCGCCTTGAAGTCGTCGTTGTGCGTCTGGGCGAAGTGCAGAAACTGCCGCAGGGCCAACACGCCGCCGCCGCGGAGGTCCGTTGCGGGGTCAAGCCCCTGAAAGCCAAACTCCACCCACGACTCGCTGCGATGGGCGAAGTCTGCGGGCGACCTCCCTGCCGCCTCCCACAACTCCCTCAGCAGTTGCATGTGCTCTGCGTTCGCCGCGTCGAACGCGGTGGCGCGCTCCTTCTCTAGACGAGCGGCCTGCTCGCCGCAGTGGCAGAGCTGGCGCAGCATCTCCCGCACGTGCGCGCTCTGGGGCCCGGGCAGCGTCGCCTCCGCCGGGGCTCCCGCGGCCAGCAGACGCTGCAGGTATGCCTGCAGCGCGGGGTCGAGGAGAATTTTCTTCTCGTTGCCGGCGCCGCGGAAGAAGTACACTAACCCGCCCAGCGTCACAATCTCCCCGCGGGCGATGTGACCGACGGCCTCCTTCGTTGCGATCTCCGGCCGCTGGCCGGCTGCGATGCCGCGGAGCACCGGCGGACTCCGGCCGCGGCGGGGGAACGGCCAGCGCTTGCCAAGCGCCCGGCCCGGGCGCCAGTAGAACGCGAAGAGCACAACCCCGGCAAGGCCGACGGCCGCGGTGAGGAGCCACGCGGGGTCGCGCAGTACGGAGAGGTATAACGTCATCCTCCGCGCCGCACCTCCGTCCCTCGTGCCTCACGTGTTCGATGTGTGTGCTCCGCGCCGGTTCCCTCCCGTCCCTTTTTGCCGCGTCCTTCTTTTCTTTTTCTTTTATTTTTTCTTT